CTCCCCTACCTTCCCTCTGAGGTTTGATGGTCTGATTGATCTGCTTCTGTCTCTGGATCTGTTTTTGTTCATCAGTTTATGTTGTTCATTATATTCCGCAAATGAGTGAGGTCATGTGATATTTATCTTTCTCTGACTGAATTATTTCATTTAGCATAATGCTCTTGAGCTCCATCCATGCTGTTGCAAATGGTAAGAACTCCTTCTTTTTTACAGCAGCATAGTATTCCATTGTGTAGATGTACCACAGTTTTCTAATCCACTCATCTGCTGATGGGCACTTAGGCTGTTTCCAGATCTTAGCTATGGTAAATTGTGCTGCTATGAACATAGGGGTGCATATATCCTTTCTGATTGGTGTTTCTAGTTTCTTGGGATATATTCCTAGAAGTGGGATCACTGGGTCAAATGGGAGTTCCATTTTTATTCGTTTTCTCAAAAAACTAAAAATGGAGATAAGCCATGTATTAAGCAAATGGAAGTCAGCCATGTCAGCTTATTTCCAAAACTGCCTACTTATGACATATGATTCTTACAAGAACACAAACGCGTAACAGTAAGAACCACACAAGCTCCTCCTCCACACCCTCTATCCTGGTCTATCTGCCCTGTGTTAGCCTTGAGTTTGACATGCTTGCTCTACAACTTCAAAGTAATCAACATCTTAAACTCCTGTGGGAGTTGGTTTAAGGCATAAAATTTCTAAAACATGTGCATTTACATCTTCCTTCAAAAATGTATATTAACAAACAGCTCAAAAATAAGCATATCATTCCCCTAAAATAAAACACTATTAACATGTTTCAATAGTTCAGAAAAGGTAGTACCATGCTTGAGGTTTTCACAATGGGAACTTCACTTTCAGCTCTTAGCTTGCTTTCTATTTCATCCCAATTCCGATCTTTATCTTTAAATAATATTCTATAAATAGAAAAACAGAAGCATTTTAATTTTCATATTTAGAAGCCTGTCACATTTTAACAATAATACAAAAACAAAATCTTTTTTCAAGCCTTCACAAGGATAAAGAACTGCCTAAATATTACGTAACTGTGAATTAAATCCTAAGCCAATACAGTGGGGCCTTGACTTACGAGTGTCTCGACTAACGAGTTTTTCGAGATACGAGCTGTCTCTCGGCCAATTTTTTGCTTTGAGTTGTGAGCTAAAATTCGGGTTACGAGCCAGCTTCAGAAACCCCACCGCTAGTTGGCGCAGCGAACGTCACAGTGAACGCCACAACATCAGCCCAGCATCACGTGTCATTGTAATGGTGAAAACTGGTTTGACATACGAATAATTTGAGTTACGAGCTCCGTCACAGAACGAATTAAACTCATAAGTCAAGGCCCCACTGTATTGCTAATGAACTCATTTATGTGAGAGATCTGTATTAAGAAAGTAACTGAGTGGTTCTGAATATACACGTAAACTCTTGTATTGACCTCACTCTTTATTGAAAACCAAAATATAAAACAAATGTAGACGACATAACACCCCAAATTGTATCTGATATTTGTAATTAACCATCAGTTATAATGAAAAAACAACTTTGTTCAGATAGAACATACGTGGTATAAGCAGAAGATGAAATTAAGATAAAAATAGGTTGAAGTAGGTATGAATAATGGTGTCTCTTAAGACCCCTTTCTATAGGAAAAGGAATCCTATTGGTTGAGCAAAGTGTGAACATTATTTTAAAGACTAAAAATTGATGTGTTTACTGTTTTTCTTTACAAATCTTCCTTTTCATAACACAATCGCCAATAAAGACAATTATTTTTAGAAACTAAACTCAACTATGTTAATTTATAAAGTACCACAACATTTTGATTTGCCACTCAAATGTGGAATGGCATCCTTTTCTCCCCAGGACTTTGGATCCGAGACATGACTCAGCAGGTTTGGAGAGATGCAATTACTAGGCATCCTCCTGGTACTTTGTAAATTTCTTCACTGAGCCTGGAAATCTAATTTAACTGCTTTATATAAGCATCCACACTGTACAAGTAAGTAAATTACTTATTTGTATTTCTTAAAGATCAATGGCCAGGTTCAACTTATTTGAAAACAAGAAATTCATCAATATCAAATCTACATTTACACATAACCATGTTTCAAAAGGCAATAATGGTTCTAGAATCTGATACAAGAACATTCTGATCGACTGCTGAATTTTCTAAACCCCCAAAATAAACCTCCTTGCCAGACATCTAAGAGCTGTTATCCTAATGACCAGGCTATTATTGCACAGATAAATGACGCTGTGCATTGTAAAAGAGTCTTAACAGCGTTAGGACCGGTGGGAAGGAAGAAAACAAGGACTATTTCATGGACCAACTTAGAACTATAATGGACTTGTATTATATAGGAAGTCTGCTTAGCCCCTTAGTGCTGGAAATTCAGTGAATTTTGCCAGTACCTAAAGCCTTTTACATACATTTTCTGAGTCTTTTAAAAGTACACATATCCTTTACTGATGAGGAAGATAAAATTAGAGGAAAGTTTGAGGTCTTATAATAGAAGTCTCAAAAGTCTGTTACTTTAAAACATTGTGTCTGGTAACTAATAAACTTAAACCGAGTAAGTACAGCTGTTCACTTTTAATGATAAGGGACATTTATTTCTCTTTTTGTCCCCTTCACACTGCCCATCTCGCTCGCGGCTATTACTTCTATCTAAAAAGCAAGGGACATGGTGGAGGCAGAATAAGAGTCATTGCCACTGGCTTCACCAGTTCCTAGGAGCGGTGCTAGCAGGCTTGAAAAATGTGGAGCAGGCCGGCCAGTATGGCTAAGTGGTTGAGCATCGACCTATGAACCAGGTCATTGTTCAATTCCCAGTCAGGGCACATGCCCGGGTTGCAGGTTCGACCTCCTGTAGGGGGTGTGCAGGAGGCAGCTGATCAATGATTTTCTTTCATTACTGATGTTTCTCTCTCTCCCTCTTCCTTCCTCAATGAAATCATTAAAAATATGTTTTTAAAAACCGTGGAACAGGCAACTGTTACTAATAAAAGCAGGAGGTAAAGCCACACCACAGTACCTGATCTTCCCGGCTGTTTTGTCTATGGACTGTCGGATCTTCCTGGAGAACTGGAAGACGGACGAGAGCAGCAAGTTATCTCCCATGACCTGAGCAGCCAGAGAGAACGCAGACGTTAGCACATCCCCGCGGCCCTGACTCCGCAGCAAGCACGCTGTCCCAGCTCCCTGTGTTCAGGGCATTTAGTATGCATGCCAATTATAATCAAAGACCAAGGAAGATGTAATTAGCGTAATGCATAACCACATCGAGGGAGAAATATTCACAAAGGAGTTCCTTTTTATTAACTGACTTGTAAAGTTGCCCTATTGTTTTGGTCATATCCCTTTATCCCACCATCCATTACTAGCAGGATCATCCCACCATGATCCTGTCTCTCACGCCTCCAATGAAATGACCATAAAAGGGAAAGCATCAAGAATTGAGAATACTAAATTTACTAGCTATTCTTTCATCAGATCATATGAATATGGAGATGACGAAGATTGTAATTCCTGCTCTCCAGGGCGGAGTCTAGTGGGAAAGGCACATTTTAAAAATTTACTCAAAATGTAAGTTTTTATAATGGGGGTTGGTACCTCCCCAGTTGAAATTCATGGGCAAACCAGAGGTCAGGCCCTCTTGGCATGGCTCAGTGGTTGAGCATCGACTTATAAACCAGGAGGTCACGGTTTGATTCCCGGTCAGGACACATGCCCGAGTTGTGGGCTCGATCGATCCTCAGTGTGAGGCCTGCAGGAGGCAGCCGATCAATGATTCCTACAGGAGGCAGCCGATCAATGAATCTCATCATTCATGTTTCTCTCTCTCTCTCCCTCTCCCTTCCTCTCTGAAATCAATAAAAGTATACTAACAAAACAAAACAAAACCAAAAAACCAGAGGTCAACAAACTTCTGCAAAGGGCCAGGGAGTGAAGATTGGGGCGAGGCTCTCTGTCACTTCTGAGCTCTCGCTGCAGCGTGAACGCAGCTGTAGATACTGCACAGGCCCGTGGGCGTGGCTGCGCGGGAATAACATTGCCAGCAACAGGCGACAGAGGCACAGCTGGCAGAACGCTAGGAGGAGGACTACACGGGGTTCCCAAACCAGCTCCTTAGCCTGAGAACTGCACCTGGACTCTAAGAAAACCCAGAAAGTAACAAACATATGGCTTTGGATGTTAAGAAGCTTTAGCGATCTATATACAGTAACATATAGGAAATACAGCCGACTATTCTACTAGAATGTAAGTAAGTGCTAAATGTTGCGATTCTGTGCTGTAGGAATTCTAATGAGGATTTCTGTGATGGTGGCATGAATAAGGTAGCAGGAAAAGTAAATCCAGAGAATGACAAGGACTTGAATTCAGGGGGATAAAAGGGTTCATTAGAATATGAAAAGCAACAGTGGGCAATGAAAGGCTACAGAGCACAGTGGCGTTTTGTGAGCCTTGAGGAATCCAATCCAAAGAGTGGAAAACACATTCATTAGGATGAAGTGAGAAAGGGCTGGGTAGTCTAAGGGAAGATTAAAACAGAAAAGGATATCTCTTTTTTCTACCCCATAAAGTGCAGCTCATTGTCACAGTACATTGAAGATTTTCTGATATTAAGCTGGAGATAACTATCAACCTAGATGCTTCCATTCTCTTTAAAAATATAACTTCTTTCACACAGTTTAATTACATTTAGACGAATTTATCTTCCTGGACCTCAGGCAGAATGACTGTAGATAAGATCAGAGAACAGGTCCTTGTCCTGACACCAAGAACAATAAATAACTATGAGGCCAGGCCGGGACCATCTAGCATCCTGCAACCGTGCCCAAGGAGCCGGCCACATGCTTTTCTACCAGAGGGAGATTTAAAAAATATATTTTAATTGATTTCAGAGAAGAATGGAGAGGGAGAGAGAGAGAGACATCAATGATAAAAGAGAATCATGGATCGGCTGCCTCCCGCACGCCCCACACTGGGGATCGAGCCCACAACCCGGCTATGTGCCCTGACCTGGAATCAAACTGTGATCTCCTGGTTCACAGGTCAATGCTCAACCACTGAGCCACACCAGCCGGGCCATCAGAGGTAGTTTTTCACTACTCCGTGCTATTGCAAACATACATATTCACGTATACTAACTTTTAGCTCCTATTCCTTAAATCTAGGAATCCACAGATGCCAGCCTAGGATCAAACCCTTCTTGTCAACGGCCTCTTTCTATATCAGTGATGGCGAACCTTTTGAGCTCGGTGTGTCAGCATTTTGAAAAACCCTAACTTAACTCTGGTGCCGTGTCACATATAGAAATTTTTTGATATCTGCAACCATAGTAAAAAAGACTTATATTTTTGATATTT